CATGCTGGATGTATCTCCAACAACTGGCTCCTCTTCTTTCTTCACTGTTTTTTGTCTCCTTCCTGTCATGTCTCATTTTGTTCTTTTTTTTAAAACACATCTTTGGGTCGGTTTCTTCTTTTCACTTTGTCTCCTTTTTGTCTTTTTGTGTTTTAATGTAGTTTTTGTGTCTCATTTTGTGTTTGTGTAGTTTTTTTGTAGTTTTGAGGTTTCGTGTCTGATTTTGGCCTCTCGTTGGTCGTTCTGTCTTCACCGACTGTAGATGTTGAACTCTTCCTGTTTCAGCTTCTCTGCTCTGAGGAAACACTGCCTGCAGTTCATCCTGAACTCTGAATGTTTCACAGAGAGCCCGTTGTGCAGAGGAGCACAACGTTTATTGATTTATTATTTCCACAGTCTTTGAATAATTTTGATGTATAGTTCCATTACTTTGATGAAATGCCAAAATGTTCGGCTGAGGTTTGTTGAGTTTTTGTGGCAGAGCTGCAGGTAGCAGATGATGCATTCAAAGACCGTGTGAAAGATGAAAGTTCTTACATTTTCTGGCTGATAAATGTTGTATTTTTAATTTTTTTCTTGGCTTATCTTTTAAAGAGAAGCTGCCAGCAGGGTTAATGGATGAGTTGTTGTCCTGCAGGCCGGCTGAGAGCCAGCGGCGGTGGGGTCGGAGGTCGCTGGCCTCCCTGCGGTCGGTGAACCGCTCTCTGGACGTGGGGCTTCCCAGCCCGCCTGCAGGGGGCGGCGGCGGCGAGGCGGGCGGCATGGGCGGAGCTCTGTTCAGGCTGACGGGGCAGCCGGCGTGCCGAGCCTTCCTCCTGACGTCGGTGGTGATGATGCTGGTGATCCTGACGGGCATCATCATCTTCCTGATCACCTTCAGGGACGACTGAGCGCTTCACGTCCCGCCAACCCGTTGTGGAAAAAACCAGCGACGCTCCACGGAGTCGAGGGAATTTTATGTCTGAATGGAGCTAATGAGCAACATCTGTGCTGCGGCTCAATCGGATCCAGATGTGCAGTAAAAGGCTCCAGTCCTGCTGTGGGAACCTGGAGGAGACGGACTCGTTGTTCTTTAAGCTGTTTCCTTCTTCTTTTATCCTCTTATTTATTTTATCTGCTTAATAATAAATTATCTATTTTTTCTTTTTAATTTTCTCACCTCGTTTTTCCATTTGAGTTCTAAAAAGTTTAAAAAACAGAAACAAGAAAACAGCGACGAACACATAATTAAACATAAACAACAGTTTGATAAAAGTAAATTGATTCTGGTTTTTCAAAGTCGGTTTATTTGCACTTAAACGTGTGAATTCAGTCTGTTTTTGTACTTTTATTAACTTTGCATTTCAAAAATGGGAGAAAAAATGAGACCTTCTGTAAAATCACAGATTTTTTATTGTTGTTTTTTCTACAAAAGCATTTATGAAACAAAAACCTGCAATATTCTGCATCTGAGTGCCAAAAACGACTTTTAAAGATATTTCTCTTTACACAAACTGATCTTAGTGTAATTACAGGATCACTAATTAATTTCTGGTCACTGATTCTGTCTGACTTTTAGAAACACGTCAACGCATCACAAATGAATTTATCGCTTCCATCAATTTAACAATATGAACCTTTTGTGAAAATGTGGTTTTACTTTCAACATAACTTCATTCATTGAGTGTTTTTATTAAAGAGTCGGTGCTGATGAAGTAAAACGATGAGAACCATCAGCATCGCAGCAAGAAAACACGGTTAGATAATAAAACATAACCATCTCATAAATACAGGATTCATTTCTATGTTTGTTTTTTAATTCACATGAGATCTTTTTTAACTTCTTAAAACTTCTGTGCACGATATTTCTCTGTTATCAAAAAAATCTGTAAAATTCCAGAAGAAAAAGTTTAACAGTTTAACTCACTGGTGAATTTGACTTTAGGAATATATTTACACTAATAAACTTGAATTTATACCAAAAAAATGCACAAAATGATGATCTTTTTTGATTATAATCTCTTTTTATTTTAAAAAATATACATTTTTCTTGGTGAATAAACAAAGTTTGGCTACTTAAAGTAAAACAAAATTATTGTAGTTTTACCTTTGATGTGTAAATTCAGCTTATTTATATAATTTTATTGATATTTTTGTGTATTTCAAAAATGTGTGACCAGAAATAATAAAATAAAAACTAAAAATATAAAGAATTTAAGTTTTTTAATCTCAAACTTCACACATCTGGTTGAAAACAGAAATAATTCTGTTAATAAGACGACGTGCAGCTTTTTAAAATTATTTTTTTACCTTCTAATAAATGCGGTTCCATCGGCAGCATCAGTATGAACTCAGCTCACCTTGTTTAAGATTAAACTTCACCTTTAGACTATAATCCTCTTCACTGCTGCACCTTCAGGATCTCACACAATAAACTACGTAACGTTTAACTGGTGCTAAAAACTCCAAATCACACAGATTCCTCTTGTTCAGCCACAAGTTTAGTTATGAAGACGTGAACTTTCATCTGCTTCACTGAAGAATAAAGTCGGTCTGAATAAGACAATGAACATGAGAAGTTCCTGCTCTGTGGTTTTATGTCGACGTGACACTAATCTGCATGAATCTGGACCTAAATTTGTCAGAAAAGCTTCAATTTTTCACGTGAAAACAGCTGCATGACGTCCAAAATGCAGAACAGAGACAAACACTGAGCAGGAAGCTACAGATCGATCAGAGATTAATTATGTTTATCAGCAGGTCAGCGTCTGTGCAGCTTCAATCCAGCTGCAGATAAAAGATTAAACATTAAAGTTGTGGTTCCAGGGATTCAAATCTGCTTCCACTTGGTCACGAAACTCACTGAAATCTAACGTTACTGGTGTTTTAAACCTGAATAATTTCAATTTAAACACGAGATTATACAAACCGGCCACCAGGTGGCGCCTCCTGCATCTTGTTTTCTGGCAGGAAGTAAAACTGAAAAGCAGCGAATGTCTGAATGTTGACTGCAGAGTTCAGAGTGTTTGTATAGAAGCTGCAAAATGAACCCGAGACACAGGTTTAGTTCAACAAAAACACAATAAAGATGTTTTTTAACATCCTGGTGGCGCCTCTGAAGGCAGTCTGAGTTCTACCTGAGATGTTCGCACCACAGCAGGTGATTAAAGATGTTTGTTCAGACATGAGCCACAAAAAGCTGCTTCGATGAGTTTCAGACAAATGAACTAAACAAACTAACGGACTTTGTTTGCTGACATAAGTTCATGAAGTGACGCCTCCTAAAAAAAACAACAAACCGACACAAGAGCAGCACCTGGACGGAACCAGAACCCGGGCTTCAAACCCTCAGACTGCGTTTGAGAACATTGTGCAGCAGAACCATGATCCTGTTTGTTGCTGCAGCTTCAGGAAGTCAGCAGGTGGCGCTGCAGCATCAGTAAATGGAGTGTTTGGACCGTGAGAACCAGAACTCCACCTTTTGTTCAGTCATCAGGAGGAATGTGAAGGATGCAAGTGGAGCGGCTTAATGATTTGTTATTGGAACCAAAACTAAGTTCTGTCAAATATTTTAGCAGAATTTTG